GCGGCGGACGCGATACCACTGTGCATGATGGCGCCGCGCCCCGCTTCTCTCCAGGCCACAGGGCGGAGGACGCCTCCTCGGACCTGCGGGAGAACGCAACCGTTATTGGACTGACCACCGTCAGTCTGGAAGATCAGCTGCGCTAAGGGCCAGGCGGAGAGAACAGAACGGCCAAGGTGGGAGGAGTGAGTTCTGTTCCAGGAGCGTCCCAGTGAGGCAGGATTGGTGGAGCAAGGGCCCGCAAAAGCCTCCTCAGTGGCCTCCAGACCCCCATTCCAATCCCTTCACCTAGCGGCGCTGATCTGAAACCTTGATCTGTTCTTTATCATCCAGGTCCCATCTCGATGGCTTATACTATACTACTGTCCCACTTCCGCACGGGACCCACGCAGGGGCACTGGGCTGGTGCCAGGAGTCCGCTCCCTGCCTCTTCCTGCACTGGGCTGACTTCTTTAAAATTCTTCTGAGATATCACCTCCTCCTGGAAGCCCTCCTGGAGCACCTCAGGCCAGGTCTGTCAGCCCCTTATGTGTCTCCATCACTGCACTAACTTACCCTGTCCTTTATGTGTCTGCTCTGTACCCTTAACCCAAGGCTGTGAGAGTTTGCTGTGGTCCGGGACTGGGTCGTGGCCACTGTTTTAGTCCCAACACATGATGACAATGATATTTGTGGAGGGCAGGCCACAAGCCAGGCATTATGCCCAGGGCTTTAGGTGAACGATCTCATTTATTCCTTAAAGAGTGGAGGTGAGGAAAATGATTACCTCCATTTATGGTATCTATGAGTCCAAATGCAAACTCTAGTAAGGATTTGCTGAATGAATGCACCCGCTGGGGATGATGATGGAAATAAACCAGTCCTCAGATGGCAGGGGCTTCTGAGAGTACAGCAGGATGTTCCCTCCCCTTCTCTGCCGGAACCACCCCTCCCTGACACCCTGACTCACTGCAAACATCTCTCTTGTTCTCTGTGTCTCACTTCAGCCTCCCCATCGCCCAGCAATGGGCTCTGCCATTTATGGGCCATGCCTCTGCCTTAAAATAAATGAGAGGCATGTCCTTCTCTGTCCCCAGTCTGACCCAGTCTCCCTCCATTGTGGCCTCTGCTGACTGCCACCCACCAATAGCCCCTTGGGACATCACACCTTTCCATCCCCATTAGGCAGAGAGCCCTGGTCCACAGATCTTCACGCCTGCCCCTAAGACTCACCCTTTCTGAGTGATCAGTGCACTGTCGGTGGGACTCTCAGCACTGGCTGTCCCCAAGGCTGCCTGGCAGCCTTCTGTGTCCCCTCTCCACCCTCTTCCAATCTCTAACCCACCTCATTCTTGGCAGATGATCTAATGTCAGGGTTTGCAGTGAAAAAGGAAGCTGTCAAGCCCCACGGCCCCCTCCTCTCTGCCCCTAAGAGGACAGAGGGGTTCTCCTTGAGCCGAAGGCCCCCTCCTGCCTGTCCCATCCTAGCCAGTGACATCCTCTCCAGGGGCCTTACCCCTGCTGAAGTGTCTCCTGGCACCTTCTTCTCCCCTCCCCTGGCTCCTTCCTTTTAAGGCCCTTCCAAAGTGGTCCACACTTACTGTCTCCACTCCATCTACCTCCTTGGTGCTCTGCCACCCAGCCACCTATGGCAGGCTGGTTTCCAGGCCCCTGTGACGGTGTCCCCTGTGGACCTACCATGCCACCTGCTTCCCTGCCTCACTTCTTCCACGTCTTCCTCTCCAGGTTTCCCCTCCTCTCTAGCTGCTCGTCAGCCTCCCAGGTGGACCCCCTGGGCTTAACCCTCGAGTGCTGCTGTCATCCAGCCCTGGGCCCCCTTCTCCTCTCACGCTATCCCTGCCCGAGCCATCTTGCTATGTCCTCAACCCTCAACCCCAAGTCTCTCTCCAGCCCAGGTTGCCCTCAGAGCCTGCCATACCTCCATCCAGATGCCTGGTAGACGACTCAGGCTTGCCTTGGTCAAAATGGAACTTGCTGCCTCCATTCCCCCCATGACCAGCTCCTTCTGGGTGCTCCTCCGGGAGAAGGCACTTCCTCACTCCTTCCAGCTGTGGGGGCCCCTGAAATCTGCCTTCTCTCCTCCCCCACCCACCACCAAACCTTGTCAGTCTGTCTGCCTTGCATCTACCTTCCATCCACCTTCTTTGTCCACAGTCACTAACCTGTCAGGGTCCACACCACCTTCACTCACCTGGGCAACAGTACCCACACCCACCTCCCTGCCCGTCATGCACTTTTGCCTCCTTCAAATCCGTTCTCAAAAGCAACAGCCAGAGTTGCTTATAAGAACCTGACCACTCTAGTGGCCACCCCTTGTGTCATTACCAATACTGATTCCTCCCTAGCCTCAATTCTAAGGTTACTCCCTCTAGGACTCAACTCCAAATACTCTCCAATCCCAGCAAGGAGCTACAAGCCACTGATCCCACCACTGCACTGCCCACCCCCCATGTCCCTCTCCTTCCCAGCTCACCTTCGGTGCTCCTAATCTCTCCCTTGCCAGCACCCTCCATGCCCTAGGCCCCTTCTGTTGTGGACTGTCCCGGCAAACGCCAACCCTGTTCCCTCCACTGCTTTGCCCGCTCTTACCTTCAACTGTGGAGCCGGGCATTGGAGGTTTACACCACCACGCGGAGCAGTATTTTTAAAAATTCATGACCTTGTGTCAAGGTTCCTCCGTGCTGCTCAGTGACCCCACTGCATTTTTCTAGGCCATTTGCTGTTCGTTTATTGTCTGTCTGCCTTTACCATGCATGAGGTCTAGGCCCAGCTCTGACACCAACCTCATGTAAGCCACTGTCCCTTTCTGGGCTTCAGTTTCCCCATGTGTAGAAGGGAGGACGTGTGAGAGAGACCACTGCTTCTTCATCAGGGTATCCTTCAGATTCACCCGGACACTTGGCCCCATACCCGAGAGAGTCATGTTTGGTAGGTGTGGAGCTGAGAATTTGCATTTTAATCGTTTGGGGTATTTGAGTATTTGGCGTTGCTTTCTTACTACCCACAGTTCCATAAACACAACGTGTACATCCTGACCCTGATAACATCTGTGTCACACACCCAGATACAGCCATACAGATCCAGGCACTGACACCCCGGGAGATCCCTAGCAGCCTGTGCCTCTGTGACTCAGTCTCTCCACCTGTGCAGTGAGCTCGCTGGCCTTGATGCCCGTGTGTGTTCACAAACATCTGTGCACACACGGACATGCAATCCCATGCACAGATGCGAACACCCAGGGGCAGATACACATATGCTCAGATGGACCGACAGGCACACACAACTACACGGGTGCATGGAGAGACATTCGCCTGTAGACGCAGACACACCTGAAGACACACACACATGCCAGCACACTGACACACAGGTACAAGGACATGCAAGGAGACATGCTCATCCCCAGGAGAAGTAGATACACACACACACACACACACACACACACACACACACACACGCAGACACACACACTCCTCATTTTCCTGGCCTAGCTCCACAGAGAGAAGCTCTTGGAAAAGAAAAACAATGTGAGAGCCTGCGGGGGAAGCGGG